TAATTACCGACTGTCGAATTTGATAGATATGGTAATAGATACCTAATGTACTGTCGATAATTGGCAACTACGGTCGATAATTGACTATTCTAATCGATGGATAGAAGATTGTCGCGATGATGAAGTAGAAAGAAAGAAAAAAGGTTTCCCCAGGGACGTTACACTTGCAGCATTACTGCAAAAAGCAACTAATATCAGAAATTAATGCTGCATTACAGTTCATATATGAATATTTTAACAAACCGATTTTCTTTTAAAAAATATTATATAGTATAACGTGTCTAAATATGATATTGTGAATGATAGTAGACTATCATTGCATTTGGAGAAAACCCTGGGAAACATTTAAAAGAGGTCACATAAGAATAATCATAAAACACAAGGGTGATTCAAGAATTGGGAAATTTGATAATTATAAATGGAAATCTAACTGAAGTTAAATACATAGATATACTATACAATAATTTATTCGATTCCGCAGCTAAAATGGATCTCAGGAACAACTTTATCACAGGACAACAATTCCAAGCACAAAGCTAAAATTACAACAAAAATTTTGGAGGACAATAAAATTAAGTTATTATAATGGATTGCGCCACAGACATATCATATCCTAACATATTAAAGGAGCATTAAAATCATCCAATGGTGATATATTAGAAACTTGCCATAAAACCTTTTTCGTTTATTAAATATACGTTCGAAAAGAATATTTTCTTTATTAACAGTTTTTGATAGTTTCACTTTTTCTACATGAATCAATTATTTTGTTTTTATCAATCCAATATTTCAAAATTCCGTGACAAACTCTTCACACTCCATTTAACAACATACATACTACGGTCGATATGTTACCAACTCTTATACACAAGTTACTGACTTTACTTGAACCATACGTTATAAAACACCTCACATGGAGTTAAAAAACAATTGATATTTTTTATTTTCTGTGAACGTACATATGCATATTGTGGTAAAGAATAAAGAATTGTTTAAAATATTAGGTTGTAACATAATTTTGCTCGGTCGCTATATGTATCATGCTTCTCTTCTAACAATAAGAACAAATTGCTTATTTCACTGTTGTGAAAAATGTGGATGTATCTATGATAACAATGAAGTCACCAGCATTCAGTTTAAACCTAGCTAAAATTGTTATTCACCATAACTACTACCAAATAACGAAAAATATGTACAGTGGAGAAGAAAAGTATTTGTACACTTGAAATATAGAAATAAAAAGAACAATATTTTTTGTATTACTAAGTATATTTAATAATATATAGCTGTATATTAAACGTTACATTTACAGCAACAAATGATCCAAAACCGAAGACAATAACATCATGTAGTAACTTGAAATGACTTGAAATTCACGAGACTGTAAGAAATCGCCGGGACAATAGTATTCGTACACTTAACTATTGTCACAATTATTTTAATAGGAATTTTATAAATTAATATTTAGTATCAAAATCCTTAAGACAAATCAATTCACGTAATATATCGGGCGTTCACAACACCATTCTCTTTTTAATATTTCTTTTAAGTATTATATCATGTTTTAGCACATTTTTTTCTAGTTTTCCCCATAAATGTTCGACAAGATTTAAGTCACGCAATTGTAGAGAAGTTGCTAACCTGTGGGGAGTATTGGCATTAACAACCAGTGACGCACTATATGTATTTTTAAAATCTCCCATAAATTTTTTCTGATAAATTTTGTATGAAAAAAAAAATTGCACTATACATATAGGCTGTATGTTTCACGCCACAGTCTTGCTGCAAATAAAATTCATCTAATTCATAAATTTAAATAATTCTAATTCATCTGCACTATTTTGTAAATTTTCTTGTAAAATATTTAAATATAAATATTTATCCATTATTTTATCTATCACTACTAAATTGCCGTCTCCAGGAGCAGCAATACATCATATTTCCACCTCTGTGTTTCGTTGTCGGTTGCATATTTTTTAAATTCAATTCAGTATTAGCTTTCCGCCATACTGTTTTACTACCGTCCGACTTAAAAATATTAAATTTTGATTTGTCGGAAAATACTACGTTTTTCCAGAAGTCGTCGCTATCATTCATGAACTGTTCTGCAAATTCTAATCTCTTTTTTTTTTGTTTACTTTGCTTATGAGTGGTTTCTTCCTCGTAACTTTGCTGTTATATCCGGCCCGATATCGATAATAGTTCTTTTCGTACTGTTTTAAGGTGAATTTCCTTCAACATATAATCTTTAAGGTGTGATGCAATTTCAGATACACTGATATCTGGTATTTCTTTAATAGTTCGGACGATTTTCTTTCGTATTTAATTTTCGGTGTCTACCGGTCTTTTTTATTCCGCAATATTCCTTCTTTTTTATACTTGTTTATAATACTTTGTATAGTCGATCGACTTCTTTCTAGTGTTTCTGATATATTTCTATATGATTTACCTTCTTCATGTAACTGTTTAACAACTTGTTATTTCATTGCGCTTTCTCTTCATTAATGCTAAAGTGTACTTGCCACGATTACTACTGACTACACTAATAGAACATCATCTAATGTAATGATTATATTGATCAGAATGTCCTGATACCATCGCAATTGTTGTATTTATCAACATAAATGATAATTTACGAATACTTTTGTCCCGCCGATTTCTTACGGTCTCGTGAATTTCAAATCATTTCAAGTTACTATATGTTGTTATGGTATTCGGTTTTGGGTCATTTGTCGCTGTAAGTGTAATGTTTAATATACCGCTACATATGATTAAATATACTTAATAATATAGAAAATATTGTTCTTTTTTGTTTGTATATTTCACGTGT